CCGGCAAGTTGCAATTTGTTGCGCCCGTTTTGCATCTCGCGACGGATGTTAGTCATTCCGGGGTACCACTAAAATACGCAACGGAGATTTTTTGGCGCAACGGACGCAACGGGCGCAACGGAGATATTTTTTTAGAAAAACCGGCACAACGCCTTTTTTTAAAGTCAATGTGCTATTTAAGCATCTAAAACAGGGCTTGACACTAACTTTTTTTAGGGGTAGTCAGAAGGACTACCTACTTTGAGGATCAGGTAGTCCTTGGCAAATCTAGGTAGTCCTCATTTTTAAACATAAAAAAATGTTTCTTATTCTATTTAAATGCATTTTGAGTGTATGTATCTGAAGATAAGAAAACAATAACATGAGATCTCTTCAAATTTATTGGAAAAAATCACCAATAGATAAATCATATAAGATCTATTAAAAGTTTGTAAGCTTTACTCTGCATGAGATGTAGGTTCTGGCTAGCCTCTGAGCTCTTCAAAGTCATCATCAACAATTTTTTTACATATTTTTGTTATAAAATATGGCAGTGTGACACACAAGTCAATAGGTTTTGAAAGGGTTCTAGCCATGAATTACTAAGGTGTGTTGCAAATAAAATTGCTAGGCAATCAGCTCAGCTTATATTATTGACAGCTTATAGGGAAGGGGAGAATATATTGGCAATATGAGCTAAATAAGTATGTCAGTTTTAAATTTATGTAATACCTGGCTTTTGTATAAAAAAAAATTTTCAATAGAGCTTACAAATCTACTTTCAGGTATAGATAATGTATGACCTTTTAGATGTGTTTTTAAATTCAAAACAGAAGTAAAAAGCTTGGACAAGAACAAAATATGTTTGTCTTTACTCTAATTGATTTATTCTACAAACTTATTTTGTCAGACATAAAACAGCAAAATATCAGAATAACAAACTTTTACTAGTGCTAGTAATTCAGTTATTTAACTGTCAGAAGATTTAAATAGGGACATTAGATTAATATCTGTTGTTCCTGATTTAAACACAAAATTAGAAATGTAAAGCCATTTAATCAAACTATATTGCCTTAGTTTTTTATGCCTAGGGTATTAGTATTTGTTAACAATTGTTTTCTTCATATACATGTATTGGCATTATTGCTTACATTTGCTTGTACATGATTAAGAAATGCTGACAACATTGTGAAGTTATGGCAAAGACAATTACAAATACTTTAGAATATTTCTTTTCTCTTTTTTAAAGAGATTTAAACATTTTTCTTCTCTTTTTTTATAAAGAGATTTTTTCCCAATCAATAATTTCATGTCCGAATAAATTACATCCGAAATTAGATCTATTTCAGACAACACGTTTATTTTGGTTATCATTGTCAGTGTGATTTACATCAATCAACAAATCATATTCTTTTAAGTTAAAACCCTTGAAAGGGTTCCAATATAAGCAAATATTTTCATTGAAATGTTTAATAGACAAAGAATTCTATTGGAGTAGGCTGGAAAAATCGGCAATTAAGTTGGACTTCCGGTTTCACTTTTCGCAACTTTATAGAGATTTTAAATAGAATCTATTATGCGTCTGCTGTGACTGACACTAGTGACCTAACGGCTAATTATTTACTAGTAAGATGAATTTATCTTTCGTTTTGAATCATAGCCTAAAAAAATGTTATTTTATTAATTATTTTTAGTGAATTTAGAGACATCAGGTCACTGAAATTTTGAGTAGCCCGACGGGATACCCAGCTTGGAAACTCGGGTAGTCCTTGGGGAAAATTGGTAGCCTCGGGCTAACGGACCATCGTTAGTGTCGAGCCCTGTAAAATGATTGTTTATAACTAATTAGTAAGTAAGTTTTAAAATATTTCATAAATTGTATATGTTTAATTGCACTGAAGGGTCATATGCCTGGCGAAATGGAAATTTCATGGCGCAACGGAGATATTTTTTCAGAAAAACCGACACAACCCCTTTTTTTAAAGTCAATATGCTGTATTTGAGCATCTAAAATGATTGTTTAGCACTATAAAGTAAGTATGATTTCAAATGTTTCATAAATTGTATATGTATACACTGAAGGATTATAATATGCCTGGCGAAATGGAAATTTCATGGCGCAACGGAGATAATTTGGGAAAATCGGCACAACGTTTGTACTATTGTACTATTATATGAAATTAATTAACACCAATGTTATTTGAATAAATAAATTTAAAAAAAAAAGATTTAAAAACCTTAATCGTATATCAAATAATCAAAGAGCTGCAATGTTGATGTTGTACATAAAGGATTGTGTGTTGGCGAAATGGACATTTTGTCTGCGCAACGGAGATTTTTTATTTTTGGCGCAACGGAATTTAAAAAGAAAACAATGTTTGTCCGAGTTAAGTAGTAATATGAAGAAGTAAATCATTGAAGATATTAACTGAATTACTGAAGTGGTGTTATAAATGTCTGTTTTATTCATTTAAAAATAGAATGAAATACGTATTTATCGTTATGGCTGACACTGGAAGACAAGTATAGATTTTACTATCTGTTTCATTTTTTCCCCGTTCAATTCGTTATTTTTACGAAAAGTACTGTAATAGCTTTTCTATACATAATTTTTAATTGAATTTGCATTAGTTAACTAAATAAAGTAATATGTTGATATTACAGAATCAATGTTCAGTATTTTTTTTATTATAAACATTCATTGTATTTTTGTTATACCTTTCATAAACTCCGTTGCGCCGATGGATTATTGCGAAACGGAGATTTTATTTTCAAAACTGTGTACTGTTTTTTATGTCTAAAACATAAAATAATCATATAAGTTGGTATTGTTGATATTTTATACATATTTTTTACATATACTGTATAAGTTTGATTTTATTAGGTAGAATACTGAATATATCAGATTCTAAATGGACGGCGAAATGGACATAATTTCGGCGCAATGGAAAATGAAGATTTGCATAACGGGTAGTTCTTATGTAAACATAACTTAAGAATTTGAGAATAATAAGTAACAGTCTTTTAAAAATGATTTACTTTCCTTTATTTTAGAAAATGTTGAAAATAGGATATTGTAAAAGATATTTAAATTACGGCGAAATGGACACATTTCAGCACAACGGGGATTATCATAACAGTTTTATCATATTATATTATTTTATTAATTTATTATCTTTCATTAATCATTGTGTACCTTTTCAATAACTGTTTGTTGCGTATAAATTGTATATTTCATCAAAAGCAATCAAAATATTTCATAATTGTTATATTGACAAACGGTAATCAATAACGCGAGAATTGTAAGCAATTAGCAACGTATCGTGCACGAGTATGGCACGGGTGTTTAATAATTTTAACACTTGTAAAAGAAAACTTGACCGTTATCAGTGGCGGATTCAGGCTCCAAAATGTTTTATTACGTCTCACATTTCATATACACAATTTTTCTCATAGTTTGAGTGAAATATGGCATAATAAGCTTCAAAAGCAATATTTTCGACAATAATAAGTTATAAAAAATATGTAATACCTTAAAGTCAATACATGTTCCTCTTAATCACATTATCTAAATGGTGTGAAAACGCTTGTCCAATAAACATCAACCACGTGTCATTGGTAATTTAATTATCGGTACTTAACACCCGTGATAAACATTCTGCCAATCACCAAATTGCTGTTGTTTCGCTAAATAAACAGTAGCTGCATTTGATTAACGGGGTTTTCTGATTGGGAAGGAATTGTTATAAGTAACGTTCAAGTTAATTATCTTATGTTTTAAAATGGAAAGTCTAAGCAAATTCTACAGGCATGTCGTTTTACTATTTTAATAATTACATCAAACAATAAATATGTTGTATAGTTACTATTTTTAATTTTAAAAATGCATAAAATATTACAATCATTCGAATATCAGCCATGACGGAAAAAAATCGTATTTCTTTGTGCATCAATAAAGCCCTTTATGAACGTTTTGTTGAAATTTGGTAATTTATTGTTAAGATTACAAAGTCAACAGCGTATGCTTTACGGACTTTTCGTATTCTTCAAGTAAAATTCTGAAAATTATGTATAGAAAAGCTATTACGGTACTTTTCGTAAAAATAACGAATTGAACGGGAAAAAATGAAACAGATTGTAAAATCCATACATGTCTTTCAGTGTCAGCCATAGCGATAAAACCGTATTTAATTCCATTTCTAAATTAATAAAACAGACATGTATTACACCACTTCAGTAATTCAGTTAATATCTTTAATGATTTACTTCTTCATATAACTACTTAATTCGGACTAACATTGATTCCGTTGAGCCAAAAAAAAAAATCTCCGTTGCGCAGACAAAATGTCCATTTCGGCGGCACACAATCCTTTACAACATCAATATTGCAGCTCTTTGATTAATTGATATACGATTAAGGTTTTTAAATATTTTTTTTTAAATTTATTTATTCAAATAACATTGGTGTTAATTAATTTCATATAATAGTACAATAGTACAAACGTTGTGCCGATTTTCCCAAATTATCTCCGTTGCGCCATGAAATATCCATTTCGCCAGGCATATCATAATCCTTCAGTGTATACAATTTATGAAACATTTGAAATCATACTTACTTTATAATGCTAAACAATCATTTTAGATGCACAAATACAGCATATTGACTTTAAAAAAGGCATTGTGTCGTTTTTTCTGAAAAAAAATATCTCCGTTGCGCCATGAAATTTCCATTTCGCCAGGCATATGACCCTTCAGTGCAATTAAACATATACAATTTATGAAATATTTTAAAACTTACTTACTAAATAGTTATAAACAATCATTTTAGATGCTTAAATATAGCACATTGACTTTTAAAAAAGGCGTTGTGCCGGTTTTTCTAAAAATAATATCTCCGTTGCGCCCGTTGCGTCCGTTGCGCCAAAAAATCTCCGTTGCGTATTTTAGTGGTACCGGTCATTCCGTTGCATTTTAATCATTCCGCGCATAAACCATTGAAAATATAAATGTTTTTAACACCAGTCTAGTAAACCCACAATGCAGCATTTCTTATGGCTGCGGCCAGTAAAAATTTAAAAACAAGCCCTTTAAAAAGATGTATTGATTTACAAAGCTATTTAATGAATTAATAAATATAGTTGATATTTAAAGGTGAACCATTTCTTTTATTTTCAAATTTGACGAAGTTTTAGTTTGTGACAAGATGTCTTTCTGGTGAAATAATGTAAAAACTAAGATAATTAACCAATTTATTTTCGATAGATTTTATAATATGTTGATACTAGATTACATCATACATCATTACATGTACGACTTGTATTAGAAAAATACTTTGAATTGTTAAATGTAGAATATTGAACCTATACATACATACATAGGTTTAACATAGCATACCATTGGCATTGATGCTAACACTGGCTAATGTAACTCCTAATAAATTGAAAATGAAAGTAAGATTTTTCGAAAAATTGAGAAGTTTGAAATTTGATCCAGTGTATACAGTAGTAGTCGGGGAGGAAATAAGAATTGGGGAATTAGTGAGGGTGAGAAAAGAATATATTCATTGTAATGGACGTAAACAAACTGTTAAATTTTTGTTTTAAATTAATGTTGTAATTGAAGTACACTATCAAGTAAAAATAATACAGTTTAAGGAGGTCATGACCCTCAAAGAGTTGGTGTTGGTTAACCTTTCCATTGAAGTAAATTTTTTGAAAGTATAAAAACTAAACACTTCAAACTTGGCATACATGTTTATAGTCATAAAAGGGATGCCATTTCAAAAAGGCAGATAATCGAAACATTATTTTATGCAAAATTATGCCACATTTCCAACTGAGATTTTTAGTTGTTGTTAACCTTTTAGTTAAAATACGTTTTCCCAGAAACTATCAAAGTTATTCATTTCTAACTTAATATATGCTCGCATTTAAAATATGTCACCATGTCAGGTAATGTAATACTAGAAAATGCTAGAAAACTATTAAAATTACAGTTGAAAAATAGCCGGGTTTTCTTTTTAAAAAATGAAAATCCTATTTCTGAAGAATAGGTAAATATTTTATGAGTTATATAGCTTGGTTAAAAAATGACACACCAAATGTGACCTACTTATGTCACGGGTCAATTTATTTGTTATATTAATTGTTCATTTTACTGTGCACTGTTCGTCTTTTAAACACAGGAAAAGTATACAAGTTTAATGTCCGGGCATGCGTCAATTGTCGTTTGTCTCCGTGGTGTCTGTTAGCATCTACTATAGTATAGTATCGGATGGTTTCGTAACTTATTAGAGGAAATTCCTCGGAAACAGCCTAAACAATTCAACTATGTCTGTATCTCGTATAATCCTTCATAATAGCATCATCAGTTGAGCAATTGATTGCGCCTGTTATCTTTACCTATGTTCATATATTTGGTTTCACTGCAATCAACCAAAATGTGTTAAAAGCCTGTTTATCATAAATCTTCCATACTTGAAATAGATGCAGAATCAAATTACTTTTTTACCCTGAATTATAAATATTTATATGGTACAGTTTTTTTGTTATGATATCTTTTATTCAATATTTTTGTAAGGATTCATATAAAATATAATGGCAAAGAAAATGAGCACAGAAGATATTGAAGGAGAGCTTAGGAAAATGATTGGGAATAAACATCAACAAAGTACTTCTCAAATGAAGGAAACTCATGAAATAGAGGCAGATTTGAAAAGAATGTTGAATATGCCATCAGCTGTAGTTGTAACAAAGGAGGATTTATTGGACATAAAGTCTACAAAGGTAAAATGATAACTTTAATACAATGTACAAGTTTAAAAATAAAGCAGTTGAATATTGTATTAGTTAGATTTATTTTAGGCAGATATATTTTCACAAATGATTTTGATCTTTTTACTCTTAAGATTTTTTTGTTCAGTTCATAATGACAATAATGTCTACATGCAATTAATTAAGATGATACATGAAAATTTTGAATTGACTACAAGTGTTCATTAAATAAGATATTGCATCTTACAAAATGATCCAAATGTCAATACTAGCAAAGTTCAGTAATTAATGCTACTTGTACACTGGTATTACATGATTACTAACTCATAATATTCCCTTTCAAATGTAGCCAAGCATCAATAAGCAGGAAAAACAAGCAGCAAAGAAAAAGAAGAAGAAAAAAACTCATTTAGATCCTGATCATCCTCACCATCAACATCGGCAACACCAAGAGGAACCTGGCGGTCCTGTTACTCAAGGTTTGTACAACTGCTTCACTTGAAACACCTAAACACTCCTGGTAGCACAGATATATAAGGTTTGTACAACTGCTTCACTTGTTACACCTTAATACTCCTGGTAGCCCAGATATAGGAGGTTTGTACAACTGCTTCACTTGTTACACCTTAATACTCCTGGTAGCACAGATATATACAAGGTTTGTACAACTGCTTCACATGTTACACCTTAATACTCCTGGTAGCCCAGATATAGGAGGTTTGTACAACTGCTTCACTTGTTACACCTTAATACTCCTGGTAGCCTAGATATAGGAGGTTTGTACAACTGCTTCACTTGTTACACCTTAATACTCCTGGTAGCACAAATATATACAATGTTTGAACAACTGCTTCACTTGTTACACATTAATACTCCTGGTAGCACAGATACATACAAGGTTTGTACAACTGCTTCACTTGTTACACCTTAATACTCCTGGTAGCACAGATATATACAAGGTTTGTACAACTGCTTCACTTGTTACACCTTAATACTCCTGGTAGCCCAGATATAGGAGGTTTGTACAACTGCTTCACTTGTTGCACCTAAACACTCCTGGTAGCACAGATATATAAGGTTTGTACAACTGCTTCACTTGTTGCACCTAAACACTCCTGGTAGCACAGATATAGGAGGTTTGTACAACTGCTCCACTTGTTACACCTTAATAATCCTGGTAGCACAGATATATACAAGGTTTGTACAACTGCTTCACTTGTTACACCTTAATACTCCTGGTAGCACAGATATATACAAGGTTTGTACAACTGCTTCACTTGTTACACCTTAATACTCCTGGTAGCCCAGATATAGGAGGTTTGTACAACTGCTTCACTTGTTACACCATAATACTCCTGGTAGCCCAGATATACAAGGTTTGTACAACTGCTTCACATGTTACACCTTAATACTCCTGGTAGCCCAGATATAGGAGGTTTGTACAACTGCTTCACTTGTTGCACCTAAACACTCCTGCTAGCCCAGATATAGGAGGTTTGTACAACTGCTTCACTTGTTGCACCTAAAAACTCCTGGTAGCCCAGATATAGGAGGTTTGTACAACTGCTTCACTTGTTGCACCTAAACACTCCTGGTAGCCCAGATATAGGAGGTTTGTACAACTGCTTCACTTGTTACACCTTAATACTCCTGGTAGCCCAGATATAGGAGGTTTGTACAACTGCTTAACTTGTTACACCTTAATACTCCTGGTAGCCCAGATATAGGAGGTTTGTACAACTGCTTCACTTGTTGCACCTAAACACTCCTGGTAGCCCAGATATACAAGGCTTGTACACAGTTCTGCTATGACCTTAGGTATTCAACATGGAAAAATGAGAATAATCATTTATTAGCTTTGCTACAAAATTTGTTGTAATATTTTATTTTAATGTTTCGGTTGTAGAAGGAAGCCAACCAGTTGCTAAGAAAAAGAACAAAAAAGCAAAAAAGGAGAAAAATGCAAATACTGGGACAGGTGTGACTGAAGATAGAGAAAAAGAGAAACAAAATTCTAATAAGAAAGAAGAGGATCAGGGAAATAATTCACACAAAAAATTATACAATTCTGACTTCCATAGAGCAAGATGTAAGATATTTTGATTATGATGTCTTTTTTGGAAAATAGGACACATTGAAATATAGTGAGTTGTCTTTATTAATTAAGCACCTGAAGGGAGACATATAGTTATCGCACTGTCCGTCTGTCCGGTAATCTTGTCCGAGCTTCATCTCCTAAACTGCTGGTGGTTTTCAGTGAAACTTTACAGGATTGTTTGTCACCATGCCTAGTTGTGCATAGTATCTTGATTTTTTGCTCTTTTTTTTTTTTGGTCAGTTATGGCCCCTAAATGGTCAATTTTTAATCCCCTTCCGCATAGCGGAAAGGGGTTATAGGAATGGCCTCCGTCTGTCCGTCCATCTGTCTGTCCGTCCGTAACACTTAAGTGTCCGCTCCATAACTTTTAAACCGATGAAAATTTTTTCAAATAACTTGGGACAATTGATCACCATAATGAGCTGATGTGCAGAGTGCAAAAATTTGATGGCTACAAGGTCAAGGTCACACTTAAAGTCAAATGTTAAAATGTCTTCATTTCTTAACAAAAAGTCTACATTTCGTGTCCGCTCCATAACTTTTAAACCGATGAAAATTTTTTCAAATAACTTGGCACAGTGATCACCATAATGAGATGATGTGCAGAGCGCAATAATTGGGTTTCTGTATCCAAGGTCAAGGTCACAAAGGTCAAATGTTAAAAAGCCTTCATTTAATAATAAAAAAGTCTATACATTTAGTGTCCACTCCATAACTTTTTAATGGCTGAAAATTTTTTGGAATAACCTGGCACAACTGATCACCATTATGAGACGACATGCAGAGCGCAATAATTGGGTTGCTACCCAAAAGGTGAAGGTTACACTTGAAGGTCAAATGTTATAAAGTCTACATTTTGTGGCCACTCCAAAACTTTTGAACAGCTGAAATTTTGTTTTAAATAACTTGGCACAATTGATCACAATATAGCCCATTAATGGTCAACTTACGTGTATATAAATCTTGTTCGCACTTCATAACCAAAACTGCTGGGGGATTTCAATGTAACTTCACAGGATTGTTTGTCACCAAGTATAGTTGTGCATTTTCAGCTTGAATTTTTCGGGCAAAGTTATGGCCCCTTAATGGTCAATTTTTGAGTAAAATAAGCTTGTCCACGCTTCATAACCAAAACCGCTTGGGGATTCCAGTGAAACTTCACTGGATAATTTGTCTTCATAGCATCTTGATTTTCAGCTTGAATTTTTTTGGCACATTTATGGCCCCCTAATGATCAATTTTCAAGTAAAATAAGCTTGTCCTTGCTACACCACCAACAGCGCTGGGGATGTCAGTGAAACTTCAGAGAATTGTTTGTCAACAAGCTTAGTTGCGCATACTCTCTTGATTTTCCCCTCAATTTTTTGACACAGTAATGGCCCCTTAAAAATCAACTTTTGAGTAAAATAAGCTTGATCACGCTTCATTGCCAAAATCCCTAGGAGATTTGAATGAAACTTCACAGAATTGTTAATCACCAAGCCTAGTTGTGCATAGTATCTTGATTTTCCGCTTGAATTGTTTTGGCACATGTCAAAGCTTCCTTTTGGGGGGCGTAAGTCACTTTTCAGTGACAGCTCTTGTTTTTTTTTAGGTTAAAATTTTTTTCATGTTAGAAATGCTTTTAATCAAAGGTGTTAATAAGGTTAATAACTCCAGTAATGAATTAATATTTTATTGTTTTTGTAATTGTTATGTTTACTTATAGATTTAGATGACAAATTGACTCCTGCTATTTTAAATGAGCTTGAAAAAGAAAAGATTTTTCCACTGAAAAAGGTTGGTGTTATACATAACTATTTATATGTTACTTAGGATATAGATATCAATTTTGAATTTGTTAATGTAGAATAAAAGAATGTACACTTGAGTGATAAGTAACATAGCATTTTAACAATAAATTATGCATTATTTTACTACAAGCCAAGAAACAGTGATATCTATTTCCATTCTAACATGCTAATAGAAATAGAATCAATAAAATGTGATGAACTACATGTATGTTGAACAAAGATGTAATTTTCAAGATTTTTTTTGTTAACCCATTACTTCATGAGCATTTTGTGAAAAATGGCTGTTTTCATTGAAAAGTCTCCCGTTACAAGTTCAAATTGCTATAATACTATAAAAACTGCTTCAACACTAATCAAACTTGGCACAAATGTTGACTGGACCATTGCCCTTGCAACAACATGATCAGGCTTAAATTTTCTGTTACCATGGCAACGAGGGGACATCTCAAAATTGCCAAAAATCACTATTTTGCGTTGATTTTTTCCATCAAAATTGATTTCAAAGTGCTGCAACTTCTCAATGGATTGAGATAGAGTCAAATGCTTTTCAACGTTGGTTACATGTTACCTTATGATCATTCTGGGGTCATTTACAGCCTCTCACAAGTCCAAAATTTTCTTGGCGATGATGTATCTTTTGGTTGGGGGGCCGCGCCGAAAAAGAGGTCACTTTTTTTAACAACATTTCTCAAACAAAAACAAGTGTTTGGGGCCTAAATAAGGCATTTTTCATCATTTGAGACAACAAAAAAGGGGGGGGGGTGAAAAAGGCGTGTATATGAAGTAATGGGTTAATTAATGTCACTCCTGACGTTATTCATCATGTCAACTTTCCTTATTCTGTATTGTCTTGTAATAATGAATTCTATCACTCAGTTTAATGGAATAAACAATTTATCATTTGTTCAACTTAGCATATCATTGTTATAATTGAAACAACTATTCTTTGATAATTGGTGATCATAGCAACAGTTTAAATATATGCTTCTTGCTGTCTTACAATTTTCAGAAATCTGCTAAATTTGTGAATGCCAAGTACTTTTGTCGACTGTGTGAATATCACTGTGACAATATCCCAACATGTAGACAACATGCTAATGATAAAAGGCATAGAAGGAAGAAAGAGGTATATAAAGGAATCAGTTGTTTACAATTATTGCATGATGATGAGATGAATGTCCAAGTCTGTAGACCTGGCTCCTGTGATATTCACCAAGGTCAAATGCAGAGGTGACTGTAACATAACTTGAATATTCACTGAATCTTCTTGTAATAATTGTAATTATATGACCAAAGGCCATATTAAGATTTATTCAATTGGTAAATTTTATTAAGAAGTCAGATTTCCTTTTTTTGTTGCATAAGCAAATGAAAATCGCAGAATAATAATTTGTTCTTCTTATTGCCTTTGTTAGCCATATCATCTTCTGTTTGATTTTAAATCTTGTGGTTTATAAAACACAGCTTAGTGTAGATGGAACCTAAGTGCATAAAACTGCCAATTAGAATAAAATTACAGTCAATATTTAATGATTGAGTTTTATTGTGCTCAAGTTTGTCTTTTATAATATATTGTATTATAAGGCCAGAATGCAAGGGTTCAGTTTCGTTGCATATATAATAAGAAATACAGGTCTAAATGTGTGTTGATTATGAAACTTTGTTCATAATTTTACATTACATGTGTCCTATGAAGTTAATATGTTAGTCCTGACATCTAATAATATTTTCATATTAATTAAGTCACTTAAAATGAATTATCATTTAAAGATAATGGTACAAGACAAAATGTTGAAGAACCTGCCGCACCCATCAGAAAGGCATATAGAAGCTTTAGATTGTCTGGTAGAGAATATTTACATTATACATGGTTTGACAGACAAAGAGTTGAAGTACAGACGGACCCAGGCTGATCTGATACAGGACTATCTCAGGGAGAAAATACCTGGTCAGATAATTACTATCTTCATGTATTTGTTGATTTCAAGGTTAATGTAATAAAAAACAAACAAAACAAAAAAGAAAAAAATGTTAACATAGCATTTACATTTTCTTTTTTATGTTGCTCAGTGTTTAAAGGTCTTTAGTCTATTAGAGGACACTGTTTTATATTGTTATAGTATATTGACATGAAGAATCATACTAATAGAAAGGCAAGTATACTGAAGTTTGTACAAAGTACTGACAAGATTTTTCAACAAGATTTTACATTTGATATTTGGAATAACTAGTTATAAAATATTAATTTAAAACATAAGATATTTACCTTCCTTACATGACAGTAAAATTTGCATCTAATTTGATTAACTCAAGAACATATAGAGGATATTTGTTTGTTTTGCATGTAAGATCAAAATATATTTAACTGAGTGGACACCAGATGCGTAACCGCAAGTGAAAATATAATACATGTAGTTGGGTGTTCAAAAGTGAAATGTATCATTTTTTTCATGATGTCATCACATGACTGTACCAGTGTTGAAATTTTTTTCTGTAAAAGTTCTCAAATTTTGTTATGTTTTTTTAACAGAATGTATGCAGTTATTTACTTGCTTCTCCTAAAGAAGCAAAATTTACATACAATTGAATTTATTCCTGTTGATAATTCCATGTAATTATGAAATATTATTTTCATCTGCATTCAATTATAGTTTGGCTATAGTGAAAATTATCAAATATTATTTTACTGTATAAATTATCGAATATATTTTCACTTTCCAACGCAAATATGTAATTAAATCTGTTATTGAAAAATATAACATAGAAGCACAATTTCTTATAATGTAAACAATGCAGACTACTGTATTTATATTAACAGATTTGAGTTTATGTCTGTTTGGATCATCAGTAACTGGACTAGGATTAAAGACAGCTGATGTTAACATGGACCTTGTCCTGCCACAAGGTGCTAATCCGGCACTGTGTCTCTCTGAGGTCTATAGAATATTAGAACAGTCAGGTAACATATCCATTTATAATAATTGTTTACATGTACACATGACTTTAATCTTCAAGTTTCCATTTCACAACATGTATATTGATGTAAATAAAATTGTTTATCACATAAACCGCGGCGCAGGAGTGTAATAAAGCCATTTAATAAAAACAATATTACACTAGTGTAATAACACTTTGATGTGACATCATTTGCGCTGACATATCGTTAAAGTGTGCTAATGTTAGCGCGTCATTGAAAAATTACTCATTTTAACAGTTTAACTTGTTGAATAAACAATATTATGCTCGCCAGAGGCTCGCAATATATGATTTTATTCAACTCAATAAATTTAGTATTAAACCAACACTCATTCAATATCCTTTATGTATTTATGCATTTATTTTATTTTTTCTGAAGGTGTATATTTTACTCTTGATTGATTGTTTTCAATGTTATTTAACCATCACATTTTTTCTTGTATTGTACATGTTTAATGTTTCAAAGAGGGTGTTTTATACAGTAATTTTACCATAATTTTAATGTTTTTAGGATTTATATCATCTGATGAAAATGAATTATACACTGGTTATGATTTCATATAGACTGGAATTAAACTGTTCCAAGTCATATAACTTGCCATAGGCTTACATGAAGCAAGCACTCAAATACTGTCCCTCACTCTAATAAGATATATTGCTTTATTTCAGAAAAGTTTACCAATGTAAAGAGTGATTTCCAAGCAAAGGTACCATCAGTGCTTTTTACCTCCCCTTGTGGTACTCTCTCGTGCCAGATTACTGTTGGTAATCAGTTAGCATGTCGGGAAAAGTCAAAATCTTCCCTATATTTCCCCCACTTTGATGTTTAGTTTGGGGGGGAAATTTTTGGCATTTTAATTCAAATACTGGGGGAAGGTAAGTATAATGAGTGAGGTTGCATTTGCCTGCTTTTAAAAGAAATTATTACAAAGTGCACATAATTCATGTCAGTATTTATTGTTTCTCAAAGTTAAAAGCTACTGTTGTTATTAAAGGATGGTAATTATTTCATCTATAAATTGCTTCTGTCATGTAATGTTTTATTATTATTTATAGATACATGAGGTACATAAACAAAATCTTGAATTTTTGATTATTTATAGATATGTGAGGTAGATAATCAGGATAATGGATCACTTCCAGCTTATTGTTTTGGTCTGATGACCATATTTTACCTGCAGCAGTGCCAGCCACCAGTTTTACCTGTTCTATGGAAGGTAACAAAATAATGTCCTTGTACTCTTAATGTTTTGTACCTGTTTTTGTGTTTGTTTTGTTTTAGAGAAAATGTTTTTAAAATTTCTTAGTTTAAAAAAAAAATTAAAAAAATTTTTTGTTAAAAAAAATTTATTGAAAAAGTGTTCTTTGTCTTGAATATTTTGTTAACAGTGTTAGTATTTTGCCTTGTAATATGTTTTATATGTTTGATATTTTCAGGATTTGTCTGAAGAAGCATTGAAGAAACCAAAAACAAAAGCAGATGTTGACAATATGATCCAGGAACTGAAAACGGAGGTTATAACGGTTTTGCAAATAACATATGTACTATATATATATTATAGTTTGTCATGTTCAGTTGTAGCAAATGACTTAACACAAATGTATTGCAGCATATTGAAATAAGATTTTTCTTGATTATGATAATTGTGTAGCATACATTTGTTATGATATCACAGACTCGTCTTCAAAATGAAATACTGAAATCCTACAGTTTTATTAATATTTTTATATGTTATTTTAGGTTTGGACATCGGACAATGAGTACACAGTGGGCATGTTATGGAAAGATTTACTGATGTACTATGGTGTGAACTTTGACCTAGCAGAGAACATTATTTGTGTAAGGTCACTAAAGGTCATACCTAGAGCTGAGAAAAAATGGAAGAGTAGAAGAATTGCGATTGAAGGTAATTCTGCTGACTTACATAATTCTATTCCAATCCCTGTGTTTAGTTATGTTTAGATGAATTTATCTCTTGCCAAAAGATTTGGTTTAATTATATTTGTTTATATTTCAGATCCATTTTCTAATAAAAGAAATGTAGCACGATCTCTTCAGAACTTAAGAATGTTTGATTATTTCTACAACTGCCTTCGTAAAGCATGTCTCTACTTTAGTCTGCCAACATCACATCAAAATATCTCTCAGTACTATGAATGTAAAAGAAACACAAGTCATAAAGCAAAAGAGAATGAGATTAAATCTAGACTACAGTCAATAGAAAAAAGTCACAACTCTGAGGAACAGACTGGGACGGAATCAAAGGCAGATACTAAAATTGAGAGAGCTGAAAATATTGGGACAATTCAGAAGGAGCTTTCAGATAAGGATTGTATTTCAAATGATGAGGAAACTGATAGTGATATTAGTATAAAAGAAAACCTGTTCCTTGAGGAATGTAAACAAAAGAAGTTTGAATCTTCTGTAGAACTTGATGAAGATACAAGTAATGATACACAAGTTGATGATATAGTTCCTCAATTAAAGGAAATATCAATAAATGATAAGGACAATGATGAAAAACAGTGTAATTCATGTCATATGTGTGTTCTTTGTAAGTCTCAAAATGTGATAGTGAAATCATGTAGACATGACGTTAAACCTGTCTGTGATAGAGAACATTCTGCTGCTGGTACACATGTTGTACAAGGGTCAGTGGAACATGTTAATAAGTGCTCAGATTGTGGAACAGATGAGCATGAAGGTCTTGACAATACACTTGATAGGTCGGAATTAACAGAAAGTGTACTCACTGAAAAACCTTACAAATCTGATAGTCAATGTAAAGAAGATGACTTGGTTAACAGTTTTCAGAATGCAAATAATCTTGCAAAAGATGTTTTAGACACAATAATAGATTCTGTGATTGCTGATTCTAGTATTGAAATGAAGTATAGTATTGATGAAACTGTTGAAGCTAAAGATGTTACTGTAGGGTCAGGTGATAAGGTGATAGATAAGACAACAGTTCATCAAACACTTGATGAATCAGATACAAGTTCAGGACTTAGTTCTGATGATGACATGGAGGAAGAGTCCCCAGGTTCTAGTCCATTAGCAAACACAGAGAAAAGAGTGTCAAGTCCAATTGGTGCACAATATAATTTTCTGTTTGATTCTGAGACCTTGACTGATGGAAAGGTACTACATATATTTTGTTTCTTTAAAAATTCTTTTGATGTTTGAATTTATCTTATCTTTAAAAAGTTTGTTCTTAAGTGATCTACATTTTGTAATTTGATATCTACTACTTTAGTATTACATAGTTGTTTTTTTTAAAGAACATTCAAATGTTGTATTTCATATTAAAATTGAGCTGCTGTTATAACTCTTTGTCTATTGTACTAAACTAAATCATTTGAAATATTTAAATTTTATAACTTAATTGCAATACACACCCTATACTCTTTCTTGATCTTGTCTTCTGGTAATATATTCGCTTTGTAATGTTGAATCATCTGAAGATAATTGATAATCTGTAGGGACCATCTGTGTTCTGTCCAATATGTGAGAAAGAAGGACATTTGAAATCCAACTGTCCAGAGGATCAGCTTCCTGTCTTGAAGAAACTTCCACCTGTATCCAAAACACATCTTCAACTACTCACCACTGTCATTAAAGGAGTTCCAGGTTTGTTCATTTTGTAGAACTGTTTAATACTTGCTTGTGTGTCTTATATTCCAAAAAAAATACTCATACTTTTATTCACAAACTGCTTACACTTAGTTAATAATTAGGCATAGGAAACATATGAAAAAGGTAACCTGTTTCTCCTAAAATAGAAATTCAGGTTTCTAAAATGATTCATAAATGTCCAATCATGTATTACAGGAGATTTCAAGTTGACTAAAGATGAAATTAGTGAAAGAGAATTTGTGAGGAAAAACCTTGAAGTTCACATACAAGGTTTATATCCTGGTAAGTAGTGTAACATTTTTATTTTCTGTCAACACATAGGAAATGGGAGATGTATTTTTGTCTTGGCTATTGATTTGATATTTGTCTTACCCTGTAGATAACATTTTCATTCTGTAAGTTGAAGCGTACATTCTTGGACACATAATAAGTATGCCCCCACTTCGAAGAAGAGGGGGTATATTGCTTTGCACTTGTCTGTCCGTCAGTCCATCGGTCCATAGACCAAATGGTTTCCGAGTGATAACTTAAGAACCTTTAGGCCTAGGAACTTCAAACTTGGTATGGTGATTGGTCATGACCAGTAGATGACCCCTATTGATTTTGGGGTCAAGGGGTCAAAGGTCAAGGTCACATTGACCTTGTATGTTAAAACGGTTTCTGATCAATAACTAAAGAACGCTTAGGCCTAGGATCTTCAAACTTGATATGGTGATTGGTCATGACCAGTAGATGACCCCTATTGATTTTGGGGTCAAGGGGTCAAAGGTCAAGGTCACATTGACCTTGTAGGTAAAAACGGTTTCCGATCAATAACTAAAGAACCCTTAGGCCTAGAAACTTCAAACTTGGTAAGATGATTGGTCATGACCAGCAGATGACCCCTATTGATATTAGGGTCAAGGGGTCAAAGGTCAAGGTCACATTGACCTTGTAGGTAAAAACGGTTTCTGATCAATAACTAAAGAACGCTTAGGCCTAGGAACTTCAAACTTGGTATGATGATTGGTCATGACCAGCATATGACCCCTATTGATTTTGGGGTCAAAGGTCAAGGTCACATTGACCTTTTAGGTAAAAACGGTTTCCAATCAATAACTAAAAAAGGCTTAGGCCTAGGTACTTCAAACTTGGTATGATGATTGGTCATGACCAGCAGATGACCCCTATTGATTTTGGGGTCAAAGGTCAAGGTCACATTGACCTTGTAGGTAAAAACGGTTTTCGATCAATAACTAAAGAACCCTTAGGCCTAGGAACTTCAAACTTGGTATGATGATTGGTCATGACCAGTAGATGACCCCTATTGATTTTGGGGTCAAGGGGTCAATGTCATATTGACCTTGTCCTTAATGACCGTTTCTGACCAATAACTCAACAACTCAAGTTGCCTTGGTTGATATTTTTATGTGCTTTTGGTATACACATTTGAAGGTCTTATGTAATATAACAACTTGGCTGTCATTAATGAGGCCTATGTGATTAATAAAATTTATGTATATATTATTTGGTAAGATTTTTAATAACTTTAATTGCTGCACACAACCTATGGGGTCACAATAATTATTACCTTGTGACTCGTCATGACAAGTAGATACTAGATAACCCTTATTAATTGCTTGTTTTTATTGGGTCAGAAGTCATGCATAATAACCTGATCACATGACAAATTGGCTGCTGATAGGGGGCATACATGTTTTACAAACATATCTTGTTTATTATGAGATTTTGTTGTACTGACATTTTTCTTTTATGGAAACCTCATTTAAAAAAATAATGGAGGGGGGGATAGGGTGTGGTAATTATCTGTATGTTTTACTTTAAAAAATATTTTTTACACTACTTCTTAATGATAGATTCATTATCGACACAATAGAATGGTGAATTATAATAAATGATCTATTAATGGCTATTTGATGCTTACTCATGGAAAAAATGAGTGAAAAAGTACTGTGTCATTAATTCTTGAAAGCTAGCAAATGTTGTTGAATGTAATAACCTGTCTCAGATATCATTGGCTAAAATGACCTTATAAAAAATTGATAAAGAAACAGAATATGTTCTAGTTTAAATTATATTTATTTCTTGTATCATTAGACGCACAGTTACGGTTGTTTGGTTCATCAATGAATGGATTTGGATTTCATCAGAGTGACCTAGATATATGTGTAGTCTTCAAAGATAAGGGCCCTGAGGTATATATTTTTATTTCCATATGATAAATTTGATAGCTGAAAATAAAATTTCAATAAGGCTCGAGTATTTCAATATTGCTGATATTGTAAGGTCTGATGTTTTGCTGGACTTCCAAAAATTTTAAAATTT